CCAATTTTGATTCGAACATCCGAAATGATCGAAAAAGTAGAGTGATTTTGTTGCAAACGATCGCAATGCATCACTCGTTACAGCCGCAGAAAATAATCCAAACTTCCTAAAATCAATTGTTACGGTTGACGAAACATGGTGCTTTCAATATGATCCAGAAACTAAGCGTCAAAGGAATGGAAGTCAAAAAATTCATCACAAGCAAAAAAGTATGAAAAGTTCCATCAAAAATCAAGACAATGCTTATCACATTCTTTGATAGCAAAGGTATTATCCACAAAGAGTTTGTTCCAACTGGCCAAACAAATCGAAGATAAGATATAACTGTATGTTTAGTATTATTTGCTAATTTCTAATAACTTCAGTTTTTATTTACTGCCCCATAATTATAACGCAAATGTGTCGTATCTATTGTAAAGACGGATTAAGATTAAATATGTTATTTTTTCAATTATTCTTGTCAGCGTATGATAAAATAAAATATGATAAATATTTATCTCTTATATGAAATCTTGTGATTTTTAAATATTTTATATACCTGCGACGAGATAAATTGAAATATATACGAAGGAATATCTTTATAGCAAGCGCGCTATAAATGACCAATTATATTTTTTCGCATAGTTTGAAATCCTCGAAAATATTTGCACTTAAGACGATAAATATATATTCAGTTCGTTGAAGAAAGAGAAAGCAAAATGCTGAGTGTATAAATTGCAATCAATGTAAACAAACCTATTATTGCGCTAGAACTTCCCATCAACTTTCATTTTTAAATTTTAAATATCATACTGATTCTTTGAGGCGATGTAGCAAAATTTCACTTCGTGCATAAAACTTACACTACATTGCAGCCATGGAAACACGTTTCACCGAATGAGTTCGCCTATCACTAGTAATAGAAACGCTTATACACTGTCTGCACTAATGTAGCCAAATATAAATGCTACAAGTGTGCTCGTTCCCTGATGAAAATAAAAATCGGAGCGTAAGTCGAATAGATTTAGAGACCACTAGAAGCGTAACTTCTAGGGAACAAAAATTGAAACAAAACGTAAAAAAGGCATTTACGATAATTACCTTTTACAATAATAAGCCATAAATCATAAATTAGAAGTCAGACGCTAAAAATTGACTGTGATTGGTCAATTTTAGCTTCTGACTAATTTATAACTAATGGCTTATTATAGAAGGCTGTAATAAGAAGAGACAGAAATTACTTAGCTTTTCATGATATGATGTTGATACAATAGTGAATATTAGAATTATATTTTATGTGCATTATAATGTATACACATTACAAAACATAAAATATATTTCTAATTCATATTCACATACGTGTGGAGCTACTTCATCTCTTTTTGACATGTAACAAAAAGATTTTAGGTATGGGAAAAAGTTCGTGGCGTTTTTCCCGTTACATCTAACGGGAATTTTTCCCATACCTAATATACTGATATCCTTTTTTTTCTATGTTTTAATAAAAAGAGATATGTTTTTTATGGTCAAATATACGGATATTAATGATCTATGCTTTTATATTTTCAATATCAGAATATATATACAACTAACATAAATCAAAGCTAATAAGAGTCAAACGCAGATGATTAGACATCTTACAAAAAATAATCAAATTATGAATTCTCTAATAAATGTTATCTTCTTTACTTTGTACACTTCAATTCGCTTTAAAGTCCTCTTCAGCAATACAGATATATTACGAAAAGCTCACAAATACAAAAAGATTGTCACTCGCAAATTGCCAGAGAAGTAATGTAAAATTTTAGTAGATAGAGAACGTGCTAAGAAGGTTTGATATATAATTGATCACAAAATTACATTTATACAAATCTATCTACTAAAATTTTACATTACTTCATCTTTGGCAATTTGTGAGTAACACAATCTTTTTGGATATGTCAGTTTTTCGTTATATCTATATATTGCCTCATTAGCCTTGATTTATGTTAGTTATACGTATATTTTATAGATTTAAAGACTGCTATACAATAATTGTTTTTTTCAATATTAGATTATTGCATGTGTATGTATTATGATGTGTGAATATCTACACAAATTAGAGCTAGAAGTAATTTATACTGAGGTATTCATGCAGATATTTCCTATGTTTATTTATACAAAACATTGCAATTAAATTTTATGTGTACATATATATATATATATTATATTATATATGT